CACATGCATTGCATAGTGTTGTGGAAGCCAGAGTAGGCTTGGGCAAAAGAAATGCATGAGTAAGTTTCATCTCATATCATGGCATGCATGGAGGAATTTCATCTTGAATAGCATGTTCTTGGATGAAATGGAATTATGTTTGTGATTGTTGCATGAGACCATCGCATATGCACTTAGGTGAGGAGTAGCCTCTGTAAGAAATACTCTACTGGGCGTGACTCACCCTATATGGGAACACATTTCAGGTGCGGGGCATATTTCAGCCGATGATACTCATTCGGGGCCTCGAGGGTGAAGAAAAGCAGGTTTGTGGCTTTTGAAAACAAATTTTGTGTAAAACTTTGGTTTATATTCTATTTTGATATGTAATCGTGTAAATAATTTGTAATAGAACTTGTAGATATCAAGTTTTATGTGATAAACATCATTATATATGTTTAAAATGAGGTTGGGGTGGTTTGGAATGGATTGGACATGCAAAACAGGCGAAACGGACAGCACTGGGCAGAATGTACCGGTACAGTATACCGGTACCATATGGTCCAGATGACAGAGCGTACCGGCACTGTCTGTCCAGAGGGCAAATCGTACCGGTACTGCGTACCGGTACGCTTTTCCAAATTTTTCAAATTTTAAAACTAAAGTAGGCCTTTGGACTTTGGTTCCTTAGTTCTACTGATACAAATGGATCCTAAATGAGATCTATTGGGGTGTATTGAACCCCAGTTGGATTAAATGATTAAAGGAACACAAGTTACATGTGTGAGTTAAAATCCTAAGTAAATGGATACTATTACGTGATGTTGGATCATGCAACACTCACTCATATTTCTGCAGGTTGACAGTGGTCAACAGGACCCAGGATTTAGGGGCGTCACAATATTACTCAATCTCGAGATGTATTTTTATTATTTCTGAAATTACAATGCAATCCCACCTAGTTTGGGTTTATATTTCACAAATCTATTTATTTAATCTATTTACACCTTTTCGTGTAATTTAAATGTAGTTGATCTCCTGTAAAACTCTGGTATATTCTTCTTTAAAAGGTGAATACAACCAGAGAAGAACTTGAGTTTTCTAAATACATTAATTATCTCTTTAATTACTCCTTTCAGGTAACACTCCATTAGTTAATGATTAGTTGACTTGCAGAATATACTAATATTATCACAATCTTTCCTTAGAATACTCATTTCGTAAGTGTAATTATTAATTAGTAAGCATAGGCAAAGCCAAGTTTCTAGTTGAGGGGAGCCAAAGTATGAATAAAAGAACTTATCAAGTCTCATAAAAGAAAAAGACTAGGGTCTTTTAGAAATTTTGAAGGGGGGGGGGGAGAGAGAGAGAGAGAGAGAGAGTGAAGGGGGCAATGAATCCAACTAGGTGATGTTATGTCTTTTTCACGTCATATATACAAAAGCCTATATGTATATGTGTGTGTGTTAATTGTTAATATCTCCACCCTAGTATTTTTTTTCTATCAATTAGTATGACCTATAATTAAATAACTATAACTTTTTACATACACTTTGAACACATTGCAGATATATTTAGATAAGTTGTTGATATGTTAGGTTCATTTTTTAATTATTTAAGCTATGAAAATTGTGAAAACTTGGTTACATAATTAAATAAGTGATTAATAATGAATCACTTATAACATGATTATATATATAGAATTTTTTTTTATATATAGAATTTTTTTCCAGGCTCACCAAATCATAGTGCTCACCAATCAACTGTTGAAGTCCCTTTTTTAGAAAGCCAATATGTCTGGACGTGTTGCTAAATGGGCAGTCGAGCTCGGAGAATTCGACATTGGATTTGAACCAAAGAAGGCAATAAAGGGCCAAGTAGTCGCAGACTTCATTGCAGAATTCCACCCTATAAATAGCTCCAAGCAGAAAGAAGGAGCTGATGACCATAAAAAATTTGGGCTTGGCAGTAGCTGGATCCTATCTGTTGATGGATCTTTGAATCAAAAGGGTTCCGACATTGGTCTCACTCTTATGAGTCCAGACGGATGTATTCTGGAGAAAGCTATCAGGCTCGGCTTCTAGGCCTCAAACAACGAAGTTGAATATGAAGCTTTGATTGTTGGAGTAAGGTTAGCAGCTAAGCTAGGGGCAACGAAGCCCCCAGATATTCTCTGATTCACAACTTGTAGTAAATCAGATAATAGGGGAGTATGCAGCAAAGGATGAAAGAATGATAGAGTATCATGCCATTGCGGAGAAGGAACTGTGTAAAATACCAGAATACTCGATTCAGCAGGTTGGAAGAGCTAAGAACTCGCATACGGATGCTTAGTCTTCATTGGCCTCGGCCATAGACCAAGAAACTGAGAGATCTCTCACCATTGAATTTCAATCCGAACCCAGTATTCCGTCGACCAGATCTGAGGAAGTTTTGAACAACGAAACCGTGCCGAGTTGGATGGATCCAATCATTGGCTTCTTAAAAAATGGTGACTTGCCCGAAGACAAGAAGGAAACTCATAAGTTACGTTTGAGGGCAGCTAAATTTTTGGCTATCTCCAAGGGATGAGCTCTGTCGACGCTCATTTGGAGGCCCGTATTTGAAATGTGTACATTCAAAGATAGTTCCTGACTTTCTAGCCGAAATACATGAAGGAAGTTGCGGAGCTCATATAGGTGGAAGATCTCTGGCCCACTGGCCCACCGAGCTATCTCTTAAGGTTTTTGGTGGCCATACATGCAGAAAAACGTTCAACAGTTTGTTAGGTGATGCGAAAAGTGTTAGAAATTTTTTTCGATACCAAGAAAACCATCCAAGGAGTTGCTTCCATTGATGAGCCCTTGGCCGTTTGCGCAATAGGGGATAGACATTGTCGGCCCTTTACCTCGGGCCCCAAGCAACAAGAAGTATCTTCTAGTTGCAACGGATTATTTCACGAAGTGGGTGGAAGTCGAGCCTTTAGCCAACATCAGAGATACCGATACAAGAAAATTTGTTTGGAGGAATATCATCACCAAATTTGGTATTCTGCACTCTTTGGTCTCGGACAACGATACGCAGTTCGATAGTGGTCCCTTCAAGGCTTTTTGTCAGCAGTATGGAATCTGGAACCACTACTCCACACCAGCTTACCCTTAGAGCAATAGACAAGTAGAAATCTCTAACAAAACGATCTTGGATGGAATTAATAAGAGATTAGAAAATTCTAAAGGGAGATGGGTAGATGAACTGTCAAGTGTTCTGTGGACGTACCGAACCACACCTCGGCGGTCAACCCAAGAAATCCCCTTCGCCCTCACTTACGAGATGGAAGCTATAATTCCATTAAAGATCGGATTACTACCCCTGAGAAACAAGCTGGTTTAGAGCAACAGTAACGAGGTCGTCATCACCCGAGATCTTTATTTAGCAGAAGAAAAAAGAGAACAAACGGCTATAAGGATGGCTTCATATTAGCATCAAATGTCCCAAGCTTATAATAAGAAAGTTAACCCTCGATCTTTCACACTTGGGGATTTAGTCCTTAGACGTGTACTGGGATTGGCTAAGAACCCAATGCATGGAAAGCTCGGGCCAAACTGGGAGGGCCCATATAGAATAGCCCAAGTAGGGGGCAGTGGGTATTATGAGCTCGAGACTATGGACCATAGGGCAGTGCCACACCCCTCGAACACAACTAACCTAAGAAAGTTCTATTTCTAAAAAGTACCTTTTTAAATAAAACTCCGAAGTGCCTTTGGAAGCTTAAGGGTACCCCTTAAGAGTCAACAACTCATTAGCAATTGTATTGAGATGAATTGAAGTTATTAATAAAGTTTCTGAAGATTCGCCTACTTATCTGTTTTCTGGCTATGAATGTCCTACTGTTAAGGCAAGGGGATTTTTAAATCAGGCGTAGACACCCGATCTAATCCATGCCCATAGTTAGGCATGATGATGTAAGCTAACTTGGGATGGATTTTAATCCAATTAGATTGACGAGTCGGTACAGGGTAGAAACACTCTTAGATACCCAAGGGGACTATGAGTAAACTCTACGGTAGATTGAACTCTATGAAGAAGGGCCAAGCAAGGGCCATAACTTCAAGAGCTATCAAATATTTTCCAAGGGTGTGTTTGGGTAATGGATGGGATAGGGTAGGTTTTCTTTTTTTATATCCTAACCAATCCAAGCCAAACCCACTCATCCACTTTAAAACTCTAACCCAAGATTATATCCAATCCTAACCTTTGTTTGGGAAACAAATGTATAATTTAGTGGGTCTCATAGATTACACAAATAATTTTGTAGTAATTTACTCTACCCATGACTCTATCCATTCCAATCCAAACTGACCTTATCCTATGTTGGGTTAACCCATCCAAGCCTAATAAAATTATACATTTTTCACATAAACATAAAAACATATAAAAATAAGGAAAGTTAAATATATATATATATATTTTTGGTATTTTTTTTCCAAACAAATCAACACTTTATATCATTTCTTAAAAATTGATTACAATGGGAGAAAGACAAACAATCTTGCCTTAATATGTTTGGACCGGTGGATTATTCTAATAAAATTATACATTTTTCACATATACTTAAAAACATATAAAAATTATATATGATTTAGTCCCCCTGTTTAATTTTTTAGTTTTATTTCAATAGATAGGATAATTATATATTAATTACAATTTTTTAATACAAAATTAATTTTTTTAAAATTTTATTTCAATAAATAATACAATAGAATATGAATTTTAATTTTAAAATAATATTTAATATTCTATCTTTGATTGAAGTATTTTTTATCTAAGTATAATATTTTAAATTTAAGGGGTCCGAGTATTATATACCTACTACAAACTTTAAAAGGGTTTAAGTGTAATTTTTTTAAGAATATATTTATCCTGAGGGATTTAAGTATTATGCGCGTATAAACTTGAGGGAATTTGTGTTTAATATTTTAAATATCAGGGGTTTGAATAATTAAATGACAAATTTCAGGGGACCTAAGTGTAATTCTCCCTAGATAAATTCCTCAAACCCAGCAGCCAGAACAACCCAAAAGCCATTGGCGATCTGCACCACCACCGCCATATACATCCCACCACCACCGCCACTAGAACTCACCACCCCATCTCTCCCATCACCACCACCTCCACCTCCACTCCCATCTTTCCCCCTCTGCCTACCACCACCCATCGAGCTCTTCTCCCCTTCGCTAAATAAACTTTCAAAGCTCAATATACATCAAAATGTGAAAATCGAATCTCGCAAGTTAAGATTGAGTGGTTTTGTGAGGTTGAGAAACACGGAACTGGATAACCCAAAGGGCAGTGGTAGCGGTGACGGCGGCCTGGACGTCGGTGGATTGAAGACGAGCTCAGCCGCTCAGGATAAATAAAGAGGGACGAAATGGCTGAAGAGAGAGAAGGGAAAATATATCTATGGGGAGGGTAACCCAGTGCCTGGGTTTGTAACCCATGGGGAGGGTGGGTTAATTGAAACCATTGTATGGGGGTTAAATGTCACTATAGCAACTGGGTCAAGGTTTGACCCGGGATTGTTATCCAGCCTTGAAAATGCTTCCCAAACAAAGGTTTTATGGGACCCACTGCCTTATTAACCTATCCTTATGGGTGTTAACCCATTTTAACCCATTATCCAAACACACCCTAAGTATTTAAGGGCCCCTAGTAAGGGACCGAGCTCTATGAAGAAGGCCCGAGCAAGGGCCATAACTTCAAGAGCTATCAAATATTTTCTTAGTATTTAAGGGCCCCTAGTGAGGGACCAAGTTCTATGAAGACAGGCCGAGAAAGGGCCATAACTTCAAGAGCTATCAAATATTTTCTAAGTATTTGAGGGCCCCTAGTGAGGGACCGAGCTCTACGAAGAAGGGCCGAGCAAGGGCCATAACTTTAAAAGCTATCAAATATTTTCTAAGTATTTAAAGGCCCCTAATGAGAGACTGAGCTCTATGAAGAATGGCCGAGCAAAGGCCACAACTTCAAGAGCTATCAAATACTTTTCTAAGTATTTAAGGGCCCCTAGTGAGGGACCTAGCTCTATGAAGAAGGGCCGAGCAAGGACCATAAGTTCAAGAGCTATCAAACTTTTTTCTAAGAATTCAAGGCCCCTGGTGAGGGACCGAGCTCTATGAAGAAGGGCCGAGCATGGGCCATAACTTAAAAAGCTATCAAATATTTTCTAAGTATTTAAGGGCCCCTAGTGAGGGACCGAGCTCTATGAAGAAGGGTCGAACAAGGGCTATAACTTCAAGAGCTATCAAAATTTTTCTAAGTATTCATGCCCCTAGTGAGGGACCGAGCTCTTTGAAGAATGGCCGAATAAAGGCCATAGCTTCAAGAGCTATCAAATTTTTCTAAGAATTCAAGTTAAAGTTATTATCTTTTCTAAATATATAAGGTCCGTGAAGAAAGGCAAGACAAAGGCTTTAGATTTCAAGGGGCGAAAAGGTGAAATTACAGATATAAATACTGAAAGGCGATTTTGATTCAAAATTTCCAAAGATTACATAGGTCTGAACATTCACATTAGAAGTAGTAAAAAAGAAAATCTCCTAAAGTATTTCAGGAAGCAGGAGGCTGGAAAGAGCTAGGAAGGGAATGCCGCGAGAAGAGCTCAGAAGATGAGGGCATATCAGCAGCTATCAATGCGGTATGCCAACCCTTACTGAAAAAAGCTTTCTCCAAAGACAGAATCTGCTGAGCTAGATCGTTCTCCACCTTCTCCATGCCTTCCTCATATGCATCATCTTCTTTTTCCTTTGCTTCAGATTTTTATAGATAAAATTCCTTAAGGAGACCGGTATAGTCAAGTTGAGACTGGGAAAGCTCTATATTGGCATCATCAGATTCCTTCAATTTTTTAATTTCAGAAGAAAGCCTCATGTTCTCCTCTTTCAGGCTATGATTGTGAGCCTGGAAAGCTGAAACTTCCTCACAGAGCTTGGAATATTCGTCATCCATTGACTCCTTCTCTTTGCCAAGGCAGAAGCTCGAGCGTGGATAACATCCTTTATAGCCTTATCTTTTCTGGCTATCCTAGCCCCGACCTCGTGAACTTTTTGCAGACCCTTAAAAAGAAAAAGTAGAAGACTTAGAAAAATTTTACTTGAAAAAATTTTTGATAAGAAGAAAGAAGATTAAAGGGAGAAAATATTACCAGGACCATATGTTGAATGGCTTGACGAGACACTTCATTGTCAGTCAGAGTCTCATTTATTGCCAAGTCCTGAGGCAAGATCACCCCTCAATCAATCCCCACAACAACGTTAAATCTTCTATTGTAGAGTTTTTAGTAATGATTTCCCTCTTTTTTGCCCTAAGGACTGGTAGGAAAGGAGGATTGGCGGATTCAGGAGAAAGGCTCGCCTCAGACTCAGTTGTCCTTCACCTTTTTGGGGTAGGATCCTCAACAAGTTCAAAGATTGAGTCGTCTTCAGGAATGGGGGAATGAACAAGATCAAGGGGGTCCAATTCTGATGGGACTGAAGTTTCAACAATCTGAGCCTTATTTGCCTGGTCATTGATTGGCGCGTCAGCATCGTTTGGGAGGACGGTCTTGGCAGGGACTTTGACAGCAGGCTCATTTAGAACAGTGATTGATAGCACTAAAATGGGTGGAACAGACTTGGCGAAGGGAGTCGAGTCAACAGTTGATAAAAAATCCAAAAAGTTCCTCATCGTTCTGCGTCTAGAGGCAGCAAGGGAAGACTTCTTCCTGGCGTGGGGAGTTTGTTCCCGAGCAGACTAGATCGCCTCCTGATCCGCGAGCAGACTAGATCGCCTCCCGATCCGCGGTCAGTGAGGTGTTGGGTCTGTTCGGTACAGCAATGAACTACGTGTAGATCAGTATGTACCCTAACAGTGTATGTGCAGCTTGGCAGAATAGGGATTTGTTGTAATTCTAGACTTCTCGAAGTTGATCCATTTTCACAGATGACTCAGGGACTCTACCCTTTACAGTCTCTCCTTCAAGCAAAAGAAAACTCGTATCAGAAAGCAGTAAGCATATTAAAAAGGAGAAGGGTTAAAAATTCAAACACCTGGAACGCCTTCGTCATAAGGACAATGGTAGGATGTCATAGCACCAGCATCATACTCCCAATTTCCAGAAACGAACACAATATCGTTCTCACGACCCTTATTGGAATTTGGGAGATAAGTCACCAGGTAGTGCTCCTTCTTCCTCACCGCAAGGTAATAGTTATCCCCAGTCGGTTTGAGGATGTAGCAGTATAAAATCTCCCACAGTCCTAAACTCAGGTTTAGAAGCTTATTTAAAGCTGTCACGCCCATCATTATTCTAAAAAAATTGGGGCAGCACTGGATGAGGCATAACTTCATGGTTGATAGCACCCAAAGGAGCAATGGGTCAAGTGGGAAGTGCACACCGCCTTCGGTGTTCACTTGAGTATAAACTGGAATCCTCTCTCTGGTTCCAATCAGAGGCTCATCTTTTTCAGCTACCTTTACCTCAACGTCCTCTAGGATGTTGTATTTAATTTTGAAAGTAGGAATTTCAGAGGGTGTGAGAGGGGCCATTGAAGAAGATGAAGGGCAGAGATAGAGAGGATATAGAGATGGGTTTGGAGGCAAGAAGGCAAGGTAGAGAAAGATACGAAGAGAAATCATTTAAAAAGGGAAGAATTCTAAAAGGCAAATATTTAAATGCCAAACGTGCCGCCAATATCAGGGGGAATGGCACAGGTAGTCGCTATGATGATGAAAAGGCAAAATGATGGCTGACAGACGAAAGACGTCTGTCAGACGTTTTCTGGGGGAAAATGAAGGGGTTGGCCCCCATTATTACACATGTTATGACATTAAATGAACCCACGTGAGGTTGACAAGACAGGTCACGTGACAAAGAAATCATTCACTCAGCCTTATAAATCAAGTTGAACTAATCAATAGGTTAGACAGAGAAAGGAAGAGTTCGGCTTACATATGACCAAGTTGATTAAAAGGTTTGGTTCTTATCAAGAGTTCAGCCCTTACTACGCCGAGCTGATTGGTATGCTCAACAAACAAATAAGGAGTTCGGTACTTGTAATGACTAAGCCATTTTTAATAGTATGATGAAAGATAAAGACTCTCCTATAACTTAGGCATTTTTGAATGAGTGAATCAACGAAACTACATATATCAGGAGGAATTTTTGGAGAAATATCAGTAACTTCCCAAACTAAATTGCTGAAATGAAGGAAGGTGTGCCACCTTGAATCAAAATTCATGGAAACCCTAACTGGATAGGGACTATAAAAAAGTAAAGGGAGCCAAGGTGAAAGGTACGCTGAACTCTCCTTGTCTTCTAGCAGGCGTTTCTATTCGAATACTAACTTAAGCATCGGAGTGTCTTCGATCGAAGCACTTCGATCTTGGGCAGTTTGTTCGTTTTGCAGAACACGAAGATTGAGAGATCAAGTTCACGGATATTCCTTACTAGAAAGATCACATCAAATTCCTTGCATGAGGTACAATTAGTTTTTTGCCTTTTACAAGTACCAAGTTTGAAATGTCAGCTAAAAGATCCGTATTTATAGTCTGCATCCAAACAGGCAGCCATGTTTTTATAAGTACATATCTGTTCAGTAACCTGTTTCCGTGGCATTATAGTACAAAGGGTGAAGGTTTTGGAGTTCACTTCAATATCGCTTTTACAAAAGTAGTGTTGTCTTATTTAAACCTGGATATGAAATCAAAATATAAGGAAAAACTTATAATATTTGCGGTTATTGAGTGACATTAAATATACCATTTTTTAGGTTAAGTTAAAATTATTACGACAGGTTAGCATTTTTTTTGGTAAGTTCACCACTGTTTTAGGAAAAATTAGGCATAAGTTAACCATCTTTTTTTGTGTTAAGTTACCATTATTGGGTGGGAAGTTACTTTTTTTGGGATAAGGAACCACTGTTTTAGATTAAAATACAACGTTTGGGATAAGTTCACTACCTTTTGGGAAAAGTTATCACATTTGGGAGTTAAATTAAATAAGGTAAAAAAAATTGGATATTAGTTGAGGGTGTAATATGAAGAATCTGGTAGTTGAGGGGGCAAATTAAAAAAAGGGTGATTGTTTAAGGGTATAAGAGAAATTTATGGCCGATCCTTGATCACTACAATTCGAATCAGGACCAGTCAAGCTAGCAATCCTCTCATTTTTTTAAAATAATAATTATCAACAGTCCAAACACTTACCCCAAACCCAAACCAAACCCTTACTTGAAAAATCTCAATTCATATAAATCCAACTCAAACCCTCACCCAATCAACCAGTCCACAACTCAAAGAACCAAATCTAATTCAACAAACTCCAAATTCTTCATACCCAAAACCCTAATGAAGAATCCAAATCGAAGAACCCCTAATCATC